ATAGAGCAAACGCAGGAAAACCATGAAATAAAGCAAACTAAATACTAACAAATAGTAACTATTTAGGGATAAATTGTCAGTATCATTCAACCAGAACAGAATCAATCAGACAAAGATAAATACACAGGAGACCGTCTTTAATTGTTAATTTAGGTCTATTCATATAGTTTATTAATTGTGCATTGTAATATTCCTTATCACATAATAATAAAATTAATTAAGAAGATTTTATTCCTTTAGTKCACATGTACATTTTTCTGAACAAAGATGCAAATTAGTGTACGATTCTAACGCTGAACTTCCCATGCGTTGCGATAATATTTTCTAATGGTTGGTGCCTGAATTGCAAGGAAAGCATCCAATATGGCCATCATCATATTGTTTTCCAAAGCACCAGGGGTCTGTMTAGAGATAGATTTGGCAAGACCAAATGCCATTTCGATGGGATTCAGATCATAACTATATGCTGGTAGCTTAACAAGAGTTATGTTCTTTTGTAGTAGTATTCTCGCTAAATAAGCTTCATTATGTATGCTGGCATTGTCACAGATAAGAAACGTATTTCTAGGAAGTAAGGGCAGTAATTGAAACTCGATAACCTCGTTTACCAAAATGGTGTTGTAGTTCCCTTCAATTGGAATCGCTTGTATAAAACCTTCATTGTATCCACATAAACCGATAACAGAGTACTTCGGGAGGGTAGGATTTTTACTTMGATAAGACGCCAGACGAAAGCCAGATTCTGTTAGACCATACTCTCGCTGGTCAGTTTCGGTGTTAAACGATGTTTCGTCAAAAAAATACATCCTTGCAGGAGATACGGTCAGACGCCAACGTATGTAATCCTGGCGGCGTTGTAATACAAAGGGCGAGTATCTTTCTCGAGCCACGTTTATGCATTTCTTTCTCGTGAGTTTAAGTTCTTTTAGCAGTTCTCTTACACTTGAATAGGACGGGACAAGATTTGGCGGGAGGTTAAATTCATCTGCTACTAACTGGACACACTCTCGAATGTATAATGAAGGATAAATGATTATTAAGGCTTCAATGTAGATTTTCATCCATGGAGGTATAGCTCTACTTGGTCGTCGATTTGTAAACGAGAGAGAACCTAACTGGGCTTGCTGTTGAAATTGATTTAACAGTTTCGCAACGAAATTGTATGATACCTTCTCTCTCCTGGCAGTGTCAGCTATTGAACCAGTATTAATAAACGTTAATATTATTTGTACCCGCGTTTTGAAAGGATAGGATGCTCCGTTGAAATATACTCCTCCTTTCTCGTTGATTCTCCAAGACATTTTTGAGAAGGTCTTACAAACAACGAATATTTAGCAATTAATAAAAAGTATT